ATCCAATTCAATCATGGCAGAAAGGTATGACCCGCATCAGACGTCGTGGGAATCTCACTACAAATCACAGACAAGAGCTCACTTATTTACTGACGTTAAAGTACAATATTATTTACAATAAATAATAAAGCGGCCTCTATATACACAGCTCTGGTAGACTGTCCCCGGATCGAATAACCTGCAATTAATTGCTTGACTCACGGGCCTCGCAACTAATCAAAGACCTACGCGCACAGCGAACTATCACGTGACCACTTACACAAGTAGAATTCCACTACGGCTTCCCGACATTCAGGTTGCTCCTCGAGCATCGCTCGATAAAGCACCGCCTTCGGCGCAAGTTTTGTGCATCCACACGAGGTCTCCCACTCGGCTCGAGACCCACCCCGCGACTCGCGCTCTCTGAGTTCTATCCTCTCAGCCCACGTGGCTCGCGACGTCGTACTCGCGTTCGCGCGGCAACCAGCATCACGTGATCGCTGCGACGCCTCGTGGTTCTGCCAGGCTGGCTACTGTTCGTTTCTACAATTGCGAGAAATTCCCTAAAATTCTTCTGGAATGCTGTACATCTGCGTTCAGGGCCTTTCAGCCCTCACCCACGTGCGACCCCCCCCCCCTAACGGCATCGGTCTAAGCTTCTATGTATGGCTTCGGCGCAAGTCTTCCTGCCTGTAACGGGAACCGTTTGAAATACGTTTAACTGGTCAACCTATACAGCACTGTACTTCTTTTGCTTCTTCGCGTAAGAGTAGCTAGTTCTGTAGCTGCTGTCAATTATGCGGCTTCATTTAGATGAGATAATTTTAATTTTAGCTTTAAATCGTCATAGACGCTATCTACTTGTGGCTGACCAAATTGTAGACGAACGTATTTTGGAATTATTTATTGAAACTAATTAGTTAGAAATTGTAGTTATCTTTAATGTGACGATATTTTTTTTCAATATCCTTACAATGTTTTACAATATACAAACATTGTAGCCTATATTATTTTCGTATTCGAATCTGCATAAAGTTATTGTATTTGCTTCCCATTATAATGACTATCCTTTCCTGGAAAATTACTTTTGAACATGTACTTTAATTTTACTGTCAAATAGGAGAGATAAACGTGTTTCTTTACCATGCATTTTCTACTGAGCGTTTTGTTGCTGCTTTGAGTAGACTTATTTTTTTAATTTTCTTTTCACGTATTGACCATATCACAAGACATGCTACAAGACACACTTCAAATCGTTGTGGTTCAACCGTTAATTGGTATCTGAATATATGTTCTCTTCCTTTCTTCCTTCTACATTTCATGGTGCCCTCCTCTTCACACTTTCAATATCAATCAGACAGCAAATAAATATATCCTAATTTACTTGAATAACTATTGTGAAACTGTGTGAAGATTGTTAGCCTATTCACTCCTTATTTTCGGGAGAAACAGTTCATCTGATATTTGCAGTCAGTAGGCTACCTAAGCATTCAGATCTCACAGTTTTCCATCATGATTTTCATGCCTCTTCCCCAAATGCTTAAATTACTAAGTAATATTTCGTTTATACCTCATCGGCGGCGTCAATTTTATTTATAGACCAGTGAAAGGGAGCTCAAAACGGCGAATTTTCGCCAGAAAACTCTTATTATAGGGCCTTGGTAACGAAAAAGTGGATAAATCCTGTTGCTAAAATAGGGAACAAATTCTGTATCACTTGTTAAAGACAGAATCCCTGTTTTGTGAGACCTTGATGACCAAAAAATCGATTGACAGCAAAACGTCTGCCAGCCAGCCCGCCCGCCCGCCTGCCTGCCCGCCTGCCCGTGTCTGTCTGTCTGTCTGTCTGTCTGTCTGTCTGTGAACAACGCTTGCAGCCACAGTAGTGGCCCCTTGAATTTGAAACCAATATTTTTATCTTAGGGGATACTTTACATGAAGGCACTGAGACATTTTCAAAATTTTCAAAAAAATGGCCCTATCGATTGTGATTAACTTTTGTTGTTGGATAGTGTCAAAAACGATTAATAAAATGCTCTTCAAATGCTTTAAAAATACCCAAAAAAGATGTAACAAATTAACCAAAACTACTTCACATGAGCAACTCAAATATGTTACGGATGTAATCTAGGCTTCTTCCGTTTTGTTGAACTGAACTCAGCTCGCAGATATTAGGTATGGACAGTTCTTTAAAAGAAAATCTCTGTTTTTATTTATCGCGAAATCGGTCGAACTGACAAATGGCGCCGATAAACGTCACAGAAATCTTAAATTACGCAGCACTAACAACTGTTGACATTACAATATTTGAGCGACGAAATCGAATAGGCTACACGGGAATTTTGCAATGAACATTTTTTGCTTCTCGTTACTGTGTTTGAATCAAATACCATTAAAAGGATATTAAAATAGAGTAAATTAGAGAAACAAGCAATAAAAATTGCGTTAAATACCTGACTACGACTTATTAGTCAAAGTCAATGAAAAATACAAAAAAACAGAAATTACAATGGGTCATATCGTTTGTCGTAACATAAAATAATTTTTTGCACTAAACGGCATTTTTTAAAGTGAAAAAACATGACTTTTCATTAAAATACGTCCCGTATACATAAACATTACTAATGGCGAGAAAGTACGTGCTGTTTTAGCTTCACTTGTTTTAAAAATAACTCAAAAGCCATTAATTTTTCGTAAATAACGGTCCCATATGAAATAAAAGAAGATAAAACGACCTATAAATAACCAGCTCTTTAAAAAAGTCATGTACAATGTTTTGAAGAAATTAATAGATTTTGCGTAATTTATGATTGAAATTAATACAATTTATAAAAGCATTTTCTCAAAAACTGCTGAAAATGGTTTTTGCAATCTTTTTACATTGTTAGAAGAATAGACTCTTAAAAGAATGGTGCGTGACTCTTTTTCGTTGAATTCTCTGAATGTAATAAAATTGCAAATTTAGAAATAATGAGAGAAAGGATGTGCCGTTTTTAGCACCACTTTTGATGTTCATTCTAGACCAGCGCTTCTTCAGCTCATGACCCGAAGTATTTACTTTCATTAATTGAAATTTGCTTGTTACCGCCAGTGTTCGCAAAATAAAAATATAGTTCTTTACGTATTTACAATTAAATTTTGTAAATAATGTATATCTGTAAGAAAACTATTAAGATTTTTGATTCTATTATTCATTTTCCCTTTTTGAAAATGATGGATTTTTTATTTTACTAAGTAAAGCCGGAGAAGTTAACTGTCATTGAATGTTGTTTGAATCTAGAGGCGTTTTTAATATGTTGAGTAGGTTTTTGATTAATTGAGTTCACGGATAAGTCTATAGAGAATGACTCGGGACTATGAATGAGAAGTTTCTAGTCACGAACTTTTAAGTGAATCTCATTTTATGTATGTCAATTATGTAATAATTTCACTACCCCATCACTTTGTTGGACGCGTGGTCGGGGCAACCAATTTTTTGAACGAATTTAATTAGTTAATTATGTATGTAAATCAAATATATCTTGCATTTCATTTACAGGGAAAGGTCACAATCAATAGGCATTTGTTTCCGTGTTGCTTAACCATTTCTTTTTTAAGGCAATGTCACTTGTGACGTTGTTTGTTCCTCCTCTGTGCTTTAATTTAAATGTAAAGCATGAAATAAGGAAACAACCGCGTTACTCAATGGCCAGACAAAAGCTATTTAAAATGGAGTGGAGTCTAGTTAGAATAATTCCGTATTTATTTCTCAGTAATCATATGTATGTATCCAAACTATCCGTAAAATGGAATGTAATATATCAAAACTTCATCTGCTCATTAAATTAAGCAACAGTTACGACACAGTAAATTAATACAATTAATGCGTTTATTCTTGGTATAGAGTTTTATTGTGATGATCTCCAATTGTAATAATGACTCAATAACGAAATGTTGACCAGTAAAGAAGAATTCCTTCAACAAAACATAATTTTGTTCAGAAAGGCTTCCCCATGTGCTTTCACGCGAGAGTTGTAATATACAGATTTTTAGCTGTGTTATCGCCTGGTTTTCGCCGGAATACTACTTGAAATTAGAAGCGTTCTTAAGCACAGGTGGGGAAAGACACTATATCTTCTAAGAGAACAGGAAGTAAAGAGATTATTTATTTAAAGCAAGGTTGGGAAAATTAATAAAAGATTTGTATTTTTAGTTATTGAAAAAGAATTATTGAAATTGCACGAAATTTATCATGGAATATCGCATTTATGTCGATAAGAACCGAAGATGCAATAGAGAATAGAAAACGTTATCGGATACCTGTTCTAAGTTTAACTGGAAATTTTATTCAAACTATTGTATAAAATTATCACTTTTCCAAAATTTGAAACCAGAGTATATTTTTCTTTTGAAATTAAAATATATGATCTATTAAATACTACATGAACATTAAATGACCCGGAAATGATTGGAATTCAATTTAATGTTGGTATTTTAAATACGAGAAATTATAAATTCTGCACCTGACACTCATCACATTGTTCTAAAAAAAGGTCGCGGCAGTGATGTGATCTTTAGTGATATCGGATGACAATTCCGATGTATGTATGTATGTATGTATGTATGTATGTATATATATATATATATATATATATATATATATATATATTAATTCTCATTATTATTGCTACAAAAGACAATATTAATTACTATCAATTGATAATTTGTTCCGGCTCCCATATCGGACATCTTCAATTGGTTGGAAGAGCAGGAATTGGTTGGAAGAGCGGGAATCGGCTGGAATCGCAGGAATCGGCTGGAAGAGCGGGAATCGGTTGGTATCGCGGGGATCGGTTGGAAGAGCGGGAATTGGTTGGAAGAGCGGGCATCGGTTGGAAGATCTGGCATCGGTTGGAAGAGCGGGGATCGGTAGAAAGAGCGGGAATCGGTTGGAAAAGCGGGGATCGGTTGGAAGAGCGGGAATTGGCAATGGCAGTGGGAAATGTTGGCAATGGGTCTCACGAAGTGCGTTGCTTGCGCAGCGTCGGCTGGGGCTCGTGGCTGGGGCTGGCGCTGATGTCCCGGACGGGCCAACGCTTGTCGGCGCTGGCGCTGCGACTGCTGCTGGCGCTCTGCCGCCCGTTCCTCGCCCTGCGGAGGCGGACGCGCCCCCATCGCCCGCTGCCGCCGCTCGCCGCCCCGCTGCTGGAGCGCTCTGCGCTCGACCTCGCGCGCCTCATCCGCACGCGCCAGGTGAGCAGCGCCGCGCGAAGACACTTCGCTGCTTTTCGGAGCGAAGCAGCCGGAGAGGCGGCTTGTCAGCTAGGTCGAATTCAGCTGCTGTCTGGAGGAGAATTCTAGAGGCCGGCTGCTGTGATCTGTTGTTTTCCGTGGTTATTTTTTTCGATCAATACCAGGCATGTGCCGAGTTGTGAGGCGTTGCCGGATTTGTAGTTGTTTGTTAGGGTACAACAAACAGAACTCGAACCGCGCGTGACCATTCCTTCCTCTTCCTTTTGCTATCCTCGCCCCTTACACACACATACACAGTTATGTGCTTTACACTACCACATGTTTCGGGAGGCCAGTCAGGAGGTTAGAGGTCCCGTGGTGGGTGGGGCGGTGCCCCGCTGGTGGAAGTTCCTGGCTAGGGAAACACCGTTTGCTGATAGTAGGTCGGCGCCGGATCTCTCCATCCTGCGGGAGATCGTTGCCACCTCCCGAGGAAAAACATTCACTACACTTACTGGACTAATGAGCTTAACCGTTGACGGGTCCGGTATAACTAACAACAAATCAATCATATCAAATAGAAAACAAGGGAATGAGTGCTTAGCACGACACTACACATGATTCAGAATACACATGATTCAGAATACATTACAAAATGCATATAGCGGAGGTTGGATTGATTGATTATTTGGTGTTTCAAGGACATAAGTCCCGTAAGTTGGTACGTTTGTTTCCTCGGGAGGTACCAATGATTTCCTTTACATGATGGTGAGATCTGCAGCCGACTTATAGATCGGCTAGCGGGTCCCCCCCCCCATCAAAGCTCGAAGTTCCCGACTGGTCTCCCAACATGTGTGGTGGGGAAGTGGATGTAAAAGTAAGTGTGTTTAAAGGATGAGAATACGACAAGGAAGAGGAAGAAAAGATCGCGCGCGGGATGTGGTCCTTTAGGGTACTGCTCTGGCATTCGTATTGTGTTGATCGGAGAAACCACGGAAAACTATAGATCAGAGCGGCCGGTCGCGAGAATTCTCCTCCATATAGAGACAGAATTCAACCTATGTAGCTAATGTCAAAAATCTTTTCACCATCGGGACTCGAACCCTAGGATAGAGGAACTGCAGTGACATCAATTGATGCCATGATCCGCTCAATTCGGTTCGGTTCTTTTCGTAGTGAATGGAAACCCAGGGATTGAGTCCACAGCATGACACTTCAGGTGACTCAGAATCCATGCTACAAAACCATTAGGGCATGCAGGGGGATTGTACCTTTGTGTATGTAATTTGAAAAAGGCGCGCGCGAAGCAGGGTAGTACGTGTTTGAGGGGTTCAGCTGAACTACAAGTAAGATGCAGCCACTGTAGCGAGTTATTGGCATTTCCTTACCGCCCTTTGTTACATACAAGGGGAAAAATTAACCGATTTTACTAAAGATTTTTGTTTAAAAATTGTCTATATATTTCATTAAAAAATACGCAAAACTCATCATGTTTTCGGAAAATAATACATGGTATTTTTTTAATTTGTTCGTCTTTTACAGAATAGGTTTCTTTGACCGTTTTTGGACATTGAGCGTCTATTGGAGTAATACTTCGTTATGTTATTTCTCTTTTGTCACACGCGATTCGTCTCATTTTTTCCTTTCTTCCAGGGGTTCTGCATCGCTAGTAACCGGCGTTCCCCCACTGTCACCCATCCGGGAATCCGTGGTGTTTCGAATTTGGTTAACTTCCGTGACTTCACGGAGCGTTTTTAGCAATTCGTCTAATGACGCCGATATATCTATAAAAACATATTTCATTAAGGGAATAATCCCTATATTCAATATATTCAATATAGTAGATATTGAATAGTACGTAGAACAAATTTTATCCATAATCGAAAATTCGAAAATTCAGAGGTTTTAACAGATATATTACCAGTTTCATTTTTAAGCGCCCTTTACGCAATCCGAGGACACAATTTAATTAAAATAATTTGGAGCCAATTTTTAATAATTTCGAAAATGTTGAGGTTTCTTGGAAAATTCCCCCCCCCCTCCAAATCTATATATCCGTTTCAAATTCGCAGTGTTTCGAGTACATTGAGGTCAATCGGGAAATATCAGTTTTGGAGAACATCGTTTGGGCGGTTTAACGTTGCGTTAGCGTTGATCTCGGACAGACGGACGGATACACAGGGACGGACGAACATACAGTGGGAAAGATAGTCGCTTCATTGTCGTCATTCTGTTTTTCAATGTTAAGAACCCACAAAACGTGTATTTTGACTACATGGCATGTTTGTGGAAGTAATTTACTATACATAGAAACTACTTTTTTGCAGCGAGTTTTTTGTTGTTGTCGAAACAACTTCGATTTCCGTCGCAGATTCCAAATTTTTTATTTACTACATGAAGGTAGGAAAGCGAGAAAGAAAAATCCAGAAAATGTGAAGAAAAAATATACATTTTTTAAAACATAATCTTCTTAATATACAATAAACAGGAAAGATGACAATACTATGAAATTAATTGAGACGTAAATTAAAAATTCTTTAATCTATAATATTTACTCTAATGGTATATAATTTTGAAAAAATTATTGAGTGCGATATTGGTTTATTTTAATACTTTGTTTTCATTATCACTTTGGAAATAAATGGTGCCAAAAATTATTGAAATAAGTAGATTTCGTTTCGTAGAATTTTCTCAGAAATGTCTCCAATTTTTTTCTCATGACCAAAAAACAAATCGGTTCTAATCTCATTTCCATCAAACGTTAACAAACTTCATATATTTTTTAAATTGCAAAAAGTTGTTTTTCAAAGTTGAAGAATAAACTTGAAAAGATAAAGATTGTTGCGTTAATTGAAATCCTTAGAAGAACAGCTCTTTAAAAAGGTCGTGTAAATGTTTTTTAACGCGCGACATATTCTCGTAATTTCTGCTTGAAATTAATTCAATTTATGAAAAACACGGTTTTTCAACAACCACATGACTTTTTTTCTTTATTGCTTTCCCCGGATACAACAAGGAACGCTTATCAGAATGGCGCAAGTCTCATTTTCGTTAAACTCTCTGCGTTTAAAATTGCAAATTTAGAAATAATTCGTAAAAGCATGAGCAGTTGAAGCACGACTAGTTTTTCTAGCTCGTAGAATTCAAAAGACGTCCACTGGTTGTGGTTGAAAGGATGATTGCTCCCATCTTCGACGTCGACCCTTTATGTTCCGTTCTCACTGACTTCACCAATTTTCCGCTCAGAGTGCGCTTACTGCTGCAGGTGAAACCCGTTCGATGTCGCTAATCTCGAACTCGTTGGGACCCGTCCGTGTGTCTGTCCGTTACTGACAATTCCGGTCCACAACTCGGGGCAAAGTGACGACATTCGACGCGCATCGGTCCACTGGTGTGGAACTAATAATTATTTTTCCTAGAACTGACAATTCAGAATGGCAATGTCCAAAAGAAGAACTGGCCTTTTTTTAGATTTTTCCAAATATTCCATAACAGTACACAAAAAATTGAAAACGCATTTTGTCAGATTTTTAGGCACCCGTACGGTAGTGTTCAATAGATAATTCTATTCCTCCCGGCAAGAAACGATTGGCACTTTTTAGCTGGACCGTTCCAAAATATTCCACAAGAATTGTAGAAAAAACTGTTATTAGTCTTTTCAACGCCTCTTAGTGGTGAAACACTGAAATTTAACTATAAATCTATTTTCTATTTGTTTTTGAAATCATCAGGAACATCGCCTTTGATATTCTGTGTCTGATTATAAATTGAGCATTAAAAACAACTATTTTGCAGTAATTTTCGTTCTGGACCCATGGTTTTGTAATACTCAATCAACAAAATTATGTTTATTGTTCACATTCACGCCACTTTGGTAGAGAAATAGTAAAATAACAAAATCAACTAAATGCAACGCACGCGTTCGATGCACACTAATTTCACAATAGGAGTTAAACGAGACAAGACGTTGAAGACGGCAGACTGAACCAGTCGGCGAAAGTTTGTTGCATGTTTTGACGATCGTTAAACGAAACGACCTTGGTGGAATGTATATATGGCGTTTAACGAGCTGCCAGTAGTCACACTTCCATCAAAGCTACTGTTTGTTTGAGGTTGATGAAATCAGCCGCCTGTGGTGAAAGTCATAATACTGCCAGGTCTCTTGAGAACGCAGAATTAGAGGCGTCATCATTCAGGAAACGTCTTGAAATGATTAGCAATTTTTTTAATGCTAATGAATTTCATTAACAGCAGCCTCTTGTCCAGAATGTAAAGTCCGAAAATTACTTTTAGTTGATTTATACTAGGTAGGTACCTACTAAACATCATAATGAATACGGCCTCTAACACTTTGTCTTGCGAGTGCATGGAGGACAGCGCCAAACAGTATTTGCAGCAGTCAATCTTTCGGATCATAGGAGCTGAAATACTAAGAAACAGCGATAAGATGCCCGAAACGATACCAACCAGGCCTTCGAAGCGGCGCCGCCCAGACGGCGCATTCCGTTGTAGTGCCGGCGCAAAGTCCAAACAGTATGTGAAGTGGTTCCTTATCGATTACGCATAGAAATATAAGATTTTTATTTAATCACAGGTTCTTAAGTACAAAATGCATTTTCCTGTGCCCATTTTTTTTTTCAAATGCATCTACAACTTATAATTATATCCTTAATGTAGACATTTACTTCAGAAACGTTTAAATATAATTTTAAACCTAAATTTACCTTCCTATTCTTCCTCTTGCAAGTTTTTTCCTTTAAAATTTGTGGTGTTTCTTTCTTCCAAGAATATTCGTTCTTCTCTTTTTTTACCGTTTAGATACCACTCAAAAACTTATTTTGGTAGCCTATCATCTTGCATTATTTTAACATATGGCATACGTGGTTAATTGCATATATTTAATAAATTCTATAATCATATACTATTTATACATTTTTTCTCATTTTTACATTCTAGATTTGACCTTTATAGTATTTTTAAGTGAATTGAGCAGCTGTTCTATAAAAAAAATATTTCCATTG